AAGTATTTATCTTTTACCTGAGTGCATGATTGTTTGATTATTGCGATCTGCATTCAGATAAGAGAAAATTATGCTTTATCTAACTCCTTTTATTTGGAAATTAACTTGTTTAGAAACTCTCAAAATAAACTATGCTGGGCTGATTAGCTTGTTACCAATAGTTAGCTATCACGAACCCTTATGTAATCACAAATACTATTGCAATTCTAGTTTGAATTAAGATTTCCTATAAAGTGTACACTTTGCCAATACATGGCATTCATTCCCAAATCATTACATTTATCAGAATAGTTGAACCATGCTTTGATAATGGTTGACCGAAATTATTACATTAAAAAAAAAGAAACAAGCTAAATCTTTCTGCTTAATCTACCATGTGAATAAAGTTTAAATTATTACATGAGGAACATAATCATGTTGATGTAATCAACAATAAAGTGATTAGTTCTCCAATAAATTATAACATTTTTATAATTCTGTCCTCAGCCAGGAATAATTTTACAATGACAAACATTTCTTGTAATGGTTTGCATGCAGTAGATCAGTTTTAATATAACATGAAACAATTATTTTTATTAAATACTTTCCTAGAAGAATGCAGTACTGGAGGCCCTCAAAAACTTGGGAACAGCTCAGAGTCTTTCTAAAATTTGCTGCCATATTTTTTTAATAAATAAAAATAAATTATATTAATAATTTAATAATGAAACTATATTTAATAAATAAATAATTAATATAATGTTTAGTCAAATTTACTTTTGCCCTATCAATCCTATTTTAGGATTTGTGGTGATGCAGTAGTTAAAATGCAAAATTGCAGGATAACTGCAATTTTCGATCCTGACTGACTCTAGATTGACTCAGCCTTCCTTCCTTCTGAGATCAGTAAAATGAGGACCCAAATTGTTTGTGGGCAATACTCTGGCATTGTAAACTACTCAGAGAGTGCACTATGGAAACACAACCACTAATCCTTTATTCAAAAACTAAATAACACTGTTAGACTGCCCCCCCCCTCCAAAATGTAAACTTCTACTGTAGAATCCTATATCATAAGTTCAAAAACTGATAGCCGTCTCCATGATCAAACTACCTTTTAAAGTATAGCAATATTCAATGGTTTGAGAAATAAGATGTAACAATGTCAAAACAATCTCTGGTCCAATATCCTAGTTTCATCACCATTAAGAAATAGCTATTTTTAAGGTATCACAAATTCATACATAACACTAAGTCATAGTTAATGCTATGTTTGAATGCCTCTGGTTCAAATATTTATATTCTATTTGCTCATGGGGCAAAGCAAATCACTCTATGAAAATTGCAATTCAAGAAGACCTTGGACAGTTATGATAGGTTCAGTGAGCCAAAGGTAAGTCTTTGGTTGCAATTTTGGTTTTTAAATATAGATAGGTTAAAAGAGACAGACAAAGATCCTTCCAACCACCCAAGGTAATAAATAAGAACATTAAAATGTCAAAGGGTTAGTAGGTACATTCTAATAAATTCATTTTTTCCAATATGTGACAAATAGATCATCTGGGGACCCAGAGCATAAACTGGAAATTTTTCATTTATGCTCTGATGTTCCATCTGATGACCCATCCAAGGATGTGGGTCAGATTGCTATGATTTGTTTCCACTGTCTAAAGTTTCTTGATCCATCCCTCCAGTCTGCTGACTGGCTTTCCATGGCTTAAGACTGAAATATCTCTTTCCATGTAATATTTAGATTATGGGTTGAACTTAACCTCCAAATGAAATTAATAGAATTTAAATAAGGATTAACTTTTCAAAACGATTTCACCAGGATCAGTGAATTTGAATTTCTCCTGACCTTTCTTCTGGAAGAGTTCTTCAATCTCTTGTATGAGAAGAGCATTCAGAAGATTAAAAGAAAGAAAGGCAATCAGTTGCCAGAGTAAGCAATTTTAGAATACATGAAGAATAAACAGTGAAAATTGAAAAGGTTAGAACCTTTAAAAATGTATATTAAAAGCACATTTGGAATCTTCCAGTTTTTACAAGATGTGGCTCTTTAATGTTGATAAATAAATAAATGTGCCAGCTTCATTGTCTTTGTGCTATATAGCTTGTAGATATTCAACAGAGAAAATAAAGAAAAAAATAAATGTCCTATGCCTTCTCTGCATTTAACCTGAGCTTAAATGATGAAAACAACAAAATGTTCAGTCCTGTGATTATATTTAGGCTTAAATATTTAAGCTGTATTTATCATTGTTTCATGCTCCTAGATAGCTTAATTATTTGTCAATAGCAGAAATGCCAAAATAATCAATATTCAGTTAATATCAGTTTTAGAGACTTCTAATCATGGATCAGTTCTATCCAATTTAGCATCATTTGTTTTGTTTTTTTAAATTCCACTAAAAATTACAATTTATAATATTTTCCCTATTACATATATTTTGTATGCATCTTTTTCTAATATGTTTTCTTTTGAGCACAACATATCCAGCGTCCCGATATAGTCAGCAGGTGCCATCGCTGACTATTGGGGGTGAATCTTTGCCCCCCCCAGGGAGGGCTCACAATCTGGGTATCCTCCTGGATGCACGGCTGTCTTTAGAAGAGCATATGATGGCCGTGGCCAGGGGGGCTTTTTATCAGGTTCGCCTGATTCACCAGTTGCAGCCCTTTCTGGACCGGGATGCCTTGCGCATGGTCACTCATGCCCTTGTCACCTCCCGGCTGGACTATTGTAATGCTCTCTACATGGGGCTCCCCTTGAAGAGCACTCGGAGGCTCCAACTGGTCCAGAATGCGGCCGCGCGGGTAGTTATGGGCGCAACTCATTGTGCCCACATGACTCCCCTCCTGCGCAAGCTGCACTGGCTCCCAGTGGTCTTCCGGGTGCGATTCAAGGTGTTGGTCACCACCTTTAAAGCGCTCCATGGCATAGGACCTGGGTACCTTCGAGACCAACTTCTGCCACAAATAGCCTCCCACCGGCCAGTTCACTCCCACAGAGAGGGTCTCCTCAGGGTGCCATTGGCCAAGTTATGTCAGCTGGCAACACCCAGGGGGAGGGCCTTCTCTGTGGGAGCCCCAGCCCTGTGGAATGAACTGCCCCCGGAAATGCATAAGATCTCCGACCTCTGGGTATTTCGCTGTGCACTCAAGACCCTGTTGTTCCGCCAGGCTGGGCTATCAACATAATAATTTTAAATTGGGTGTTTTAAATTTCTGGGGTTTTAAATTGAGCTGAATTATTTAATAATTTTAAATTATTTTAATTGATGTTTGTCTTGTGCTTTTAATAGGCTGTACACCGCCCTGAGTCCTTCGGGAGAAGGGCAGTATAGAAATAAAATTACTATTATTATTATTATTATTATTATTATTATTATTATTATTATTATTATTATGTATATATTTTTGTACGCAATTTGTGAGTGAAAAAATTAGGTAAACCACAATCTTAAAAGTAACCATAATAATCTACATATTTGTTCAGAAAATATAAATTAGGTCATAGTTATTAAAATTAGACCGAACTATATTGTCTGGCATCTCTAACTCCAAAGTGAAGAAATTACCACTATTTAAATGATATTATTTGGGATTTTATAGTGATGGATGATTCCAATAAATGAGCAAACTTTATTTTATTATTACTTTCCCTATTTGTAGAAAAAATAGATAGTAACTGATAATTTCAATTTCATTATTGAAATTCAGGAATTAACTCAGCTCTTAGCAATAGACTAGCATGACCAAGTTATTCACTTAATGCAATTGACTAACACCGTCAAATTATCCCTACTTTCAAAGGATCCTGCTTTTGCAAGTCTGAAAAATCAGTCCTTAGTGAATATTTAGTAGATATTGATTGAGAAACCATTGAATTCTGAGACTCTGCCCTCTAACACCTCCTGAGTAAACATGCACGAGCCAATAAAAATAATACCTGGATCTACTTGGTGCTACAGGCAACCTTCATACATGTGAAAATCCAGACTGCTGAGTCAATCTATTTTAGATGCAACATGCATTTAACCCAGCAGACAATAATTTTTCAGATAATTATATTTCGTTTCCGCTAAGTTAGTGTAATACATTTTAATGCTATATTGAAGAGGGCTACTTGATCTTAATGAGACCACATTTTGATAAGAGACTCTACTGGACTAAGAAATCATAACAGTAATGTAATCCAAGGTTTTGATTCTTGGTTCATTAGGCAACATAGATAGCTCTTCCGAAGCTTTGTTCCCAAAACAGAGTACAGATGCCAGGACTTTTATGTTCCCCTAAGGAGATTTCTCTGTGAACTCTCATTGCTTAAAAAATAAGTCTTTGAAATAGTGGAATAATTCCAAGTTTTCAATCATTGCTGTTAAAATTATTCTTTTTCTCCTTGCAACCTAGAGATATTGCATCCTTTAGCACCCAAATCAATCATTCAGTTGATAGTGATGGTCTGGTAGAAAAATGCATGTTTCTACCACTTTTGATGCTCCACATCAAGGAAGTAAAGAACAACAAATTCTTCCTGTTCTATCAGGTTATTGTCTCATCAACTTCCAGCAGATATGCAGCTTTCAAACTATGTAATATTAAAAACTGACTCATAATAAGTGAAACTATCACAATCTATCAAGCTTGTGTTCTCTATTTTAGCTTCACTCACCTGGAATCCTCTAAATACAACCAACTCCTATCGGTCCTTTTTCCAAATAAGAATGCTGGATATGTATCTAAGAGATACCAAGTTCATTGGTGCTGCTGTGCATCCCACAACTATCACCCAATAGTTGTATCATTCTGCCAATAGTAGAGCCAACTTCTATTTTTCCCAATTTTTCTTGTAAAATTATGCTCTTCATTATAACACAAAGAGAGAAGGGAAGAAAGCAATTATATTTTTTAAAAATGATAAACAGAAGAAAGCTAAAATTATAATATAATTCATGTATCTTGTCTATACCCAGACGACCTTTTGCACTAATTTCTACTAATTCTGTATTCTGTTTTAGAATATTTCCATTCAGAATAACTGATATGCTTGTTCAGAAATTGATGGTGTCCAATGAAGCAGCATTTTATCAGGTCTTCTATATCTACAAGCTTGCTGACTTTTTTCAACTTCTGATGCTAAATGAGAGGTGCTATTTTTTGCATTGTAAGATTATTTCTCGTCATTAATCACAAAATAAATGCCACTAAACATAATTAACTTAGTCACACCTAAAACATTATCGATTTAGAATTTCATCTGGCTAAAAATTGCAAGAATTTACATTGCTTTTTTTATAAGCAAAACAAAAGTACCAGATTTTTAAAAGGGGGATTTAAATAAGAGATAATCAACTTGCAGATCTAAACTACAAGTTGCTGCCAATCCTTTCTTCCCTGCCCCTGACAACATTCTGGCAATTCCTAAAGCACCCCTGATTCTGTTACCACATGTTAATGACACAGATGCCAAAACTAGAGCCTTCAGTCTCTAGCATGCCAACAAAAGAAATATGTAAAAATTATACTTTGAACCTAAACTAGAGTTGCCTACTAAGTATAAACACCACACTCATTATTCTTTCCCTCCCCCACTAAAAAAAAAAACAGTTAAATTGAGCTTCTGGCTACCAAAAGGTTGAGTAGACCTGACAAAAATAGAAGTGACACATTCATCCATCATACATACAGATCCCACTTGTAACCATTTGAATCACAAATGAACTATATATATTTGAATCAAAAATGAACTGTATATATTTGAATCATAAATGAACTATATGTGTTTTATTTGGGATTAAACAAGGGAAAACAGTGTCTAAAATATAGGTGTAAATCAGTGGTAGGTTCCTCCAGGTTCGGTCTGCTTGGGCCAAGCCGGTAGCGGTGACGATATGATGTCACCGAACCGGTTCTCCCCCCCCTCTCCCCCCACCCACCCACCCCACGTTATTCTTACCTTTTATTTGGTCCCACCCCCAATCTATTGCTGCCTCCTGAGGCCCAGCTGATGACTAGAGGGAAAAAAACTGTTTAAACTCTTGCTGCAGGGCTTCAAAGGGCCATCCTACAGCTGATCAGTGTTAAAAGCAAACAAATGAGTCGGGTCGTAAGTGTGAGGACTTGGTCGTAAGTGCGAGGACCTTTCAGAAATGACTCTGACCAGCTAGCCACGCCCACCTAGACACATGACCTCCAAGCCACACCCACAAAATAAGCCACGCCCACAGAACCGGTAGTAAAAAAAATTAGAACCCACCCCTGGTGTAAATTCATTGCTGCAGTTAATTGAAACGGCCAAATCTGCAATTGTTAATATTTACAATTGGTGTGCTTTAATTACAAATGTAATCAATAAAATAGAATTGTGAATGGATATAAGTATGAGAAGAAGACAGCTGAACAAAACAAACTGTTAATTAACCTATTGATTAGAGAGCAAGAGAAATATATTCTGTTTGAACAGCCATTCAATTACACAATGATTCACCCATAAATTCACAATGCATTTAGGTCTATAAGCATATAAACTATCTTATATTTTAGTGACAATGTACAAAGAAACAGACATGAAAAACAGATCTTTCAAATTTATAGTCAGTTCAAGTAGCTACTAAAATAACTAGAACATATTTTGATAGTGCTTACTCCAAGCTTCAATACATTTTGATTCAATAATATATTTTAATCTGATTCATTCCTAGAGTCCCACCATTCCCAGCCTCACCCTAGAGTTCCAAGCCTTTTTTTTTTCCAAAGTTGAGTTAAAGTCATCATTTCTGTGCTGATCTGTGATGGTATATAGGTATGAACTTGTAACACAGGAGGACAGTCTAGGCCATAGATGTCAAACTTGCAGCATCACATTGCCATCATGTGATATTTTGCAACATTTTTTCTGTTTGTGGAGCTGGAGTGATCGTGGCCTATGCATGATGCATCCGGCAGTTGGCCACCAGTTTGACACCCATGGTTTAAGCCAGGGGTCAGCAACCTTTGGCTCTGGAGCCGCATGTGGCTCTTTCACCCCTCTGCTATCACTCAAAATATGTGTCACAACCACCAATGTGCAACACCCACCGGCACATGATTTATTGAGCTTTTCAACCCCCGGTAGGCCAACATGGATGGATAAATCCAAGAAAAGAAAAGTTTCAGAAGAAAACAGAACGTTTAATTCAACTACATATGCTAGTTTTGTGGCCACTCTAGAAATTATCAGGCACGGGAAGGGTTTTGTGGCTCCCAGTGTTTTTTTTTCTGTGGGAAACAGGTCCAAATGGCTCTTTGAGTGTTTAAGGTTGCAGACCCCTGGTTTAGGCAATGATCTCATAGGAGACAGTTCAGTCTGCAAGTGAGGGGAAATTGGGAAGCATTTCAGAAGGGATTCTCCCTAGTTTTTCCAGAGTCTAAAAAGGGAGGAATGAAGAAATACTTTATGTCTTCCAAGATTTTGTTTAATGTAACTTTACATTCAAGATAATGCTGATATTCCCGATTAATGTTTCTTCCGTGGACTACTTCAAAAGGCTAAGATGATCCCCAAAGTAAAAAAAAAAAAAAAGGAATATTTCTAATGTCCTTGAGACTAATCCATTCCATTAATGCTAGATGGTGATCTCAGGGCTGGGAATCAGCATTAATTACTGAACTGTACTATACTGAGAGGAAGCTATATTGCCAATCACACCCCAATCCTCACTTGTTTCCAATTCCAAACCAATGATTCCATTTAAAATAAACCTCCAAAACATGCTCACGTGGCATCTTTTTACAGTAAATAGTTTTTGTCCTCCAGTTTCTTAAAAAGACAGAAATGAAGAGTATGTCTCTGAGTGGGATGTCTGTAGAGATTTGCAGTCATCCAGGTCATGGTCGTCCCAAAGGTGCTTTTTCAAGAGGCAACTAGACTTTCTGATTTTTCTTTGAAAATGTTTTGCTTCTCATACAAGAAGCTTCTTCAGCTCTGACTGGATGGTGGGGAATGGAAGGATTTATACTCCTTGCAGACAGCTGGTCATTTGCATTCTTTTAGAGAATCATTGAGACCACCTGGAGGTTTACCCTGTGTCTGTGACCTTGGCATAAATGGATTCTTTCACTCCTCTCTCAAACTATCTTCCTTGTCCAAAATGTAAATATTATTGTCTTCAAAAGAGTACCTTTTTCTTTTAAATGAAGGTATACTGCTGATTCTGGTCCTGTGGTTTTATTTATCCTGTGCTGGGCCTTCTGATTAAGTAAAGGCTGCTTAGTTTTGAGCTATATAGAGCTCTGAACACTCCTTGCTGGACTGTATACACTGCATTATTCTTATGTTAAAGAATATTCAACTTAAGAAGAATATCCTTCTTATGTTGGTGTCCACTTTTTAGTGTGGACAAGCCTCTGTCTTTATATTGGTGAGTTTGAAATATAAGGCTATGTGGTGTTTTCCAAATATCCATTTTAGCTTCTCCGATGTAAGGAATGACCAGGTTCTATTCACTCTGAATTTCAACTCTACCTGCCATTCTTTTGTTGGATCTTGACAGTGACTTATTTTATTAAGAGCACAGGCCTTAAGAGCTGTCTTCAAGTGTCTGTTTTCCTTCTTTTGGGCATCCCTGGAACTAGGGATGTTTTCTGCCCTATGATGTGGTTTCCTGATGACTCCTAGTTTGTGTTGAGAGACTGGTGGGAGTCAAAGAGCAGATATTGGTTTGAGTTTTCTATATATCTTTATTTCTAGGTTGCCAAGGTCCCAATCGGATCCTCACATTCTAAGAACATCAGCCTGTCGTCTTGGTGTTTTCCCTGATGAACTTGATATTTGAATCCACTGTGCTTATATGATCTATGAAGGCCTGTACTTCCTGGACTCTAGCCCTAACCTTTGAACTATTGGCCCTTGTGCCAGTGGATGCACTTTATCTCACAGGATTCCATAAAAATATCAATTTTATACAACAAAAGTTGTATAACAAAATTTTGTAAACAAAATTCTTTGGCATTTTCATCAGAAATTTTGAATAAAATGTGATTTCATGGTTGATCAAATTTTTGATATTTAAGCATTAATATTGTTTTAATTCAAGTTGAGCAATTTGCAGGCAATATCTCTGGCATCTATAAGTCTCATATTATTAATTCATTTTTCAGTAATCTTTTAATTTCTGATATAAAAGAACAACTTTTTAAGAAATGCTGGCCAGGCCTGATTAAAAAGAAAAAAGAAAAGCTCATTTAATATTATTTAAGTATTAAAATTAGAGGCACAATGGCTCAGCCATCTAAAAGAGATGCTGGATTTGTTGATAGAAAAGGTTGGCTCTCTGCATTGCATCAATTCCAGTCCGAGCACTGCATCACAGAATTGAGATCCCAGCAGTCACCTCAGTTTCTGCTACCCTAGCAGTTCAAGAGCATGTAAATGCAAGTAGATAAATAGGTACTACTTTGGTGAGACTAACAGCCAAATGAAGAAACCAACTGGTGTCGAACTGGCCTGAATGTGAGGTGAAAACCATTAGAGAAAAAGCTCCAAATGACACTGACACTCCCTAGAACTCATACTATCCAGGGTGCACTACGGGGGTGAATTAGCTGCTTTATATACGGAGCTAGTTTGCCCCCTGTAATGCACCCTGGATAATACGAGTGTGAACTGAACAAACTATTATTCTGTAATAATAGTTTGATTCCTGGCATTCATATACTAACGCCATACACTAAATAAATAATAAGTATTAAAATAATAACCATGCTGATTAGAATAAAATGGAGTTAGTTTATAGCAATAGCAGTAGCACTTAAGACTTATATAAAACTTCATAGTGTATAGCTGTATACATAGTGTATACAGCCCTCTCTAAGCGGTTTACAGAGTCAGCATATTGCCCCCAACAATCTGGGTCCTCATTTTACTGACCTCAGAAGGATGAAAGGCTGAGTCAACCTTGAGCCGGTAAGATTTGAACTGCTGAACTGCAGGTAGCAGTCAGCTGAAATAGCCTGCAGTGCTGCACTCTAACCAATGCGCCACCTCGGCTCTACTTATCTACCTATCTATATCACCATCTATAGAAAAAGATAACATATTTCAGAAATAAAATAATAATAATATGAGAATTTGTCATTTTGTCCATATCAAATTAATAAGAATTTGTTTTAAAAAAGACAAGGAACAGACAGCATCCGAAAGATGTATTTCCATGTTATCTATTAGCTGGTGTTTCTGGGAATATTAATGTAATTCCAAAACTTAAGATCAGAAAAAATTACCATTCTAACAGATTATTTTATAAGAGAAATTTTGAAAATGTTATTTTGAAATATATACTGGACAATGTATTACAAAACTCAATTAATCGAATAAAATAGCTGATCATATCTGCAACCAATTTTTTAGTATGAAAAGCTATGGTTGTATTTATTATGTTTTTTATATTTATCCTTCCCAACTATTGTCTATCTGCACAGATGTCTCATGTTGGGAAACATGACAATTTAGAAATACAATAACCCTTGTATAAAATGTCAACATATGCTGAAGAAATATGTCTTGGGTACAAATATAGCAGGCTTCTGCCAGTGCTTTTCAAACAGTGACAAAAGAAAGTGATGTCTCAGGTGGTAATTACAATGATTTTGCATGATTTTCCTTCAGTCAGGAGGAATAGGGAGAAGAGAGGCAACCACTTTTCTATATAAAAAAGCATATCGCTATCAGAACTAATTCTCCAGTTATACTTTATCATTTGCTCTACAATTAGATACAAAAAATACTTCAAGAAATTGTTATGGCTTATTATTATTGTTTTGATTCATTGCACAGTCAACAAGATATTTATTCTGAATTTGGCATTTTTATCCACCTACTGAGTCCTTCTCAAAGATTTGGGCTATGCAGATATTGTTATCTGATGATGTTAAAGATATTGTAGCAGGGTGCAAGCTGTTCTGAGTAAATTTGTCTTTTGCAATTAATGATGCTGATTTTGTCAATTGTGTTCAAGTGGTGCTCCAGTTGTTTTAGGATTGCATCAATGGTGTCTATTAATATTGGTACTACCTTTGCTTTCTTTTGCTATAGTCTTTCTATTTCTATTGCAGGTCTTTGCATTTTGTGCTTTTCTCCATTTCTTTTTCTTCTATTCTGCTGTCTCCAAGTTCTGCCACATCCATTAGCCAAACATTTTGTTCTTTCTTATTGACTGTTTTTTAGCCTGGGTGTTATGTGGTAGATGCTTGTCTGTTTGAATTCTAAAGTCCCAGAACACTTTACTTCTTCATTTTCTATTACTTTCTCTGTTTTAGCTTCTTCATTTTCTATTACTTTGTCTACTACTATTATTTTGTTTATTCTACTTCATTCATTTTCGATTACTTTGTCCAAGCTAGCTGGGGAATTCTGGGAGTAAAGTCCATACATCTCAAAGATGCTGGGGATGAGAATGATCTAAATGAAGGAATTCAGAACACACCAACCCCATCAGGCTAGCTGGACAGATACTCTGGGAGACGTGGTCCCTAAAGCAACCAAGCTCTATGCTATTGACAATGATCAGCATTTTGTATCACACACCCAGAAGCAAATTGATAACCAGTGCAACCAAGGCATGCCCATTATCACCTTATCATATTTACTTAATATTTATATTTGTTCTGTCTGTCTGTCTGTCTCTCTCTCTCTCTTTGTGTCTGTCTCTCTCTCTCTCTGTCTCTGTCTCTGTCTCTCCCTGAGTCGCTCTCTCCCTCCCTCCCTCCCTCCCCCTGTGTGTGCGTGGCTGGGTGGGTGGATGCGTGTAAAGTCTCTCATACTCCTTCTTGCATTACATATACACCCTTTACAGAACGATCTGTATAATCAGTTTATATAGCTCTCAGATCGTTTCATTTTTGGAGGGGGTTGTTGTTTGTTTTCAGGACAGTGGCAGTTGGCAGCATTTTTCATAGGCTATCAGAAAATGAATCTTTTTTTTTTTGCCCTACCTTAAAAGGATAGCCATTTCTTATATAAAGGAACTGTTTTTATTGTTTTGTCCTATTGATCTCTGCCTCTCCTTTTGAAAAGCAAAATATTTGCTCCTTTCAAGTAAGACATTTCCATAATGTACAGCATGAGGGCACTTTTCTAAAGGAGCTGTCTTGTTGTACAGAGTATCCACTTCGGTTTATTTTTTTCACCATATCTCTAGCTGTTATGGCTGCGGAGAGAACTCAGAAAATGAGAACTGTGATTGATTCAGAAACGACTCTTGGATGCTGCATCTATTCATCTCTATGAGATGTTCTCAAATACCCAGTAATTTAGATGTCAGCTAGTTAACAATATACTTCCTCACTTAACAAAAAAGTGGGCTTGTCATAAATCTAGAGACCTGGCAGGAGTGATATGTAGTAATATTAAGATTTGGAAGGTTTCATGTCCTCACAATTTTTTTTTTAAATTGAAATGTACTGCACAAGGTCACATTTCAGTTCATCTTTATTCTAAGGAACTACAGAAGAATAAGAGGAACAGAGATTTAAAATATTTGACACACAGAGAAGCCTAATTAAATCTTGTTATAGAATTTAATTTCTCTCTACCCAAAGCAATAATGATTCCAGGCATAGCAGTTACTTACATTTGACTTTGTTTGGAAAAGGGCTTCACAAAGGAATCATCAGAATTTTTACATACAAGAATATTTGCAGATATTTGAGGTAAAGCTTAGGCAGAATACATAGTACCATCTTTCTAAAGCAATGAATTATTATCCCAAATCAATGTTCAGATGAATCCAACTGTTCTGGTTGTTTTTCAGACCTTAAAAGTTTATTCTGAACATCTTTAGAGAGTGATGACCACACCATTTTCCCACAACATCATCATCATCATCATCATCATCATCATTATTATTATTATTATTATTATTATTATTATTATTATTATTATTATTTCAATTTATATGCCGCCTTTCTCCAGAGACTCAGGATCCATACCTTAATTCCTTCATCTTTAGCTACAGCAGGAGGAGGTGTCCATACTTGGCAACTTTAAGACTTTTTTTAAAAAAAAATTGATTTATATGCCACCCTTCTCCGGAGACTCAGGGCGGCTTACAATGCGTTAAGCAATAGCCTTCATTCTTTTGTATATTTATACAAAGTCAGCTTATTGCCCCCACAATCTGGGTCCTCAATTTACCTACCTTAGAAAGGATGGAAGGCTGAGTCAACCTTGAGCCTTGGCAAGATTCGAACCTGCAGTAATTGCAGGCATCTGGTTTTAATAACCAGCTTAATAACAGGGTGCCTTAGACCACTGTACTACCAATATTAAGTTGAGCAATCAGATGAAGTTGCATGTATATCCAATTTGTTGGATAGATGTGGTATAGATGATCTGTTTTCTTTTTCTGGTGTTTAGGGTTAATGAAGCATGTTTGTACTTGTCTACATAGAGCAGTGTGGTGACCTAGTGGTGAAGGTGCTCATCTACCACTAGGAAGGTTGAAAGTTCAACCCTAGGCAACAACAGATGTCTCTCTCTCAGGGCACAAAGAGAAAATATATGCAGTGAATTCTACATAGGCGTCAGGAAGGGCATCTGGCCAGTAAACACTGAGGTCTATTCAGTCACTCTGATTCTATCCCAAATTAAGGGTTACATGGTTGTAAAAAGAAAGTTTGTACTCATCTAAATAGTGTTCTTAAAGCTTCTCTTGTGGGAGGTTGGGATGTTACTGTAATAGTACATCACTTGATTTGTGTAGGTGATTTTATGATAGACGATCTCAAAATCACCAACAGACTATTATAACCACATCAAAAAGTTAAATATAGTAAACCAGCCCTTTCCTAGATTATTAAAGACCAAACCCTCTTGCTAGCTGCAGATCTTTCCATCTGTTCCACAACAATGAGCCAGTGTTCCTTTCCATTAGACAAACTCAGCTTTTGCTAAAATGTTTTCCAAAATGTGGTACTAAACATTTTTGATGATTATGAAAAATTTGGGATACTGCTATTTTAAACAAGAGGGTAAAATAGGGTAGTTCCCAGAAACTGAT